GAACATTTGAAAGTGGTTGAGGAGTTAGCAAGTGGCTCTCGCCCATCTGCGCTCACTCTCCCAGCAGTCTCTACACAGACCAAAACCCTGGCTGGGTACGTCCACGCATCTTTTGCAGACAAGACGTTGAAGATTACACACTGCAAGGTGGACAGGCCTCATCAAGGACGCGGAGTAGGCGGTCTGCTTCTCGAAGCTGCCGAGAATAGAGCTCGGAATCTGGGTGCTGCCATCTCAAAAGTGAAGTTGTCTGTGTTGGAGACAAACGAACCCGCCCGAAAGTGCTATGCCAAGTCGGGCTTCAAGGTTTATGCCGAATCTTCATCCAGCTTTCCGCCGTGCAGCTGTCGTAAGAATGACGTTTGCCGCCATGACAAACTCAAGTGGTTGATGATGGAGAAAATCATCGCCGCTTCGCCTGAAAGCGTGGGCGTTCCCTGAAAAACAGGCTCATCAGGGTCATGCGCTCAGGCCATGCATTCTACCCCATAGCTGACTGACGTCCTCCCTCCCACCTCTGCTCTCCCGCATTTACCCACTCGCACATTCACCGGCTCTCGTTCACCATACTTATAATCATACTCGCCTGCAGATCTCACTCGATAGCTACCGAAGTCCCGGTCCGGCCCGGACCGGGATGCGGATGGGTTGTTACTCCTTGGAGCTTTCCTTTGCCAACTCCAGGAACACTCGGCTCCAGTAGGAGACCGTATTTATTCAAATTTGTTCTGTTCCTGTCTGGAAACCAGCTTTATTTGCTCTGTCCGTAAAGAAACGGCGAACACCAACAGGAAGGCCCCTAAAGAACCTAAAGCTGCATCCTTAGCAGAATGTTGAGCTTTTGCGATAGTTGTCTCTGAATGTTAGAGACGAAGGCTGGAGTGGGCTCCGATGTCGACCTGGCGGTGGTTGCACGTGCGGCGGCTGATGGGCATCAGGAAGACCTTTGGGACTGGCTGAATGACCGGAAGGTGCGCAATGCTATCATTTCTCTCCTTGCTCTGCGACTATGCCGAAAGCAAACGCAAGAAAGTGGCTGCGGTGCAGTGCCTTGCAGGCCCAGCTGAAGAAGTGCAACACCGGCAGCCTAGCGGCGATCCTGAGTAGCCTCACACGTGCGTCGCAGACTGCGCAGAGGAGCCGCCAGCTTAGCCACTTTTGGGCCCTTCTTACGCGGAGAGCGCTTTCCGCCAGGAACCAGACGAGCTGCAGAAGCCTCCTGCGGCATGTTGCCGGAGAGATGCTTCAAGCACATCGTCGCCTAAGTCCAAGGTGGGTTGGGGCTGGGGCCGCTGGAGAGCATGATAATGAAAGGGCTCTGGGGCCCTGTGAACTTTGCACACCGGGAGGCATGCCCTGGTCATGCTGGCCTCTCTGCAGGGGGAGGCGCAAGGAGGCCTTGCTGAAGCGCAGCTTCTTGTTGTGATCATGATGTCGTTGGCGATGGAGGTAGCAGCAATGTTGCAGGTACTGATGATGGTAATTAGAATGGTAAACGGTATATCTACTGTCATGCTGATCGTCACGTTGGTGACATGGATGTTGCCTGTTGCTTTCGTTGCTAATTTTCTTGTTAGCTACCTAGCACCACGTGGCCTAGTCGCGGCCTAGGCCTCGGCTGTTGGCTCAAAGCCTCTCCGGAGTCGAGACCAGAGATGAGGCGGCGGATGGCGGAGGCGGCGGAGGTAGTTTCCACATCTCCGAGTTGTTTGGAGGTATTCGCCAACAGACATCGCTGCTTGGCGGGTCCGAATAGCCGAAGTGTGTGCCGTGCTGGGACCGTGGGAATTGAGATCCAAGGGCCAGGACCTCCTGGGCACGGCGAGTGGGTGCGCCAATGTTGCCTGTTTAAACGCGTGTTCGATGTGCGCATGCACGGCCGAGTCCCCATGCGATCTTCTTCCTGGGGTCGAAGCCCGTGTCCTTCAGTCGCTCGGAGGCGAAAGGAAAATGAGACGGCCGACTTTCGGACGAAGGCGTCGTGGAAGACCTGTGCAGAAACAATGCCAGTCAACGCATGTTCGCCGTCACAACTTCCTTCTCCGAACGCAGGGTGCTCATGTCGAAAAAATCAAATTCAGCATGCTCAAAAGAGAAGCAAGGAGGTCATATGCGGCGGCAATGTCACCGATCTCTTGCTACGCTGCCATCCATGCTTCTTGAACTTTGACCAAGTGGGCTGTGGTCGGCAGACAGGATTGCTGCTGCCTTTCCAGAGTATCTTCTGACTGGTGACCACATCAGAACGACCGCACAGTTCTTTGCCATCGCGCAACAACCATATGGAGGCCTCCTTAACTTCTTTTGGATCCTGTAGCGGGCAGCTTAGGTATTATTTGTGCAAGTCGTGTCTGGCTGGGCTCAGCGGCTGAAATGTTCGGAGCGAGAGTTTGCGCTGATCATTCTTCGAAGGTGAAGCTGAGTGTCCTGGACAGCATCGAGAATGCCAAAGATGCTATGCATGGCCGGCTTCAATCTGATTTTTACCCTTCTCCTTACAGTGACAGTCCGTCTGATGAAAGGCTTTATTGCAATCGCATCAGAGTTTAGCCTGCCGCGGCCGGACTTGAAAAACAAAGCCGCCAATCGTGTGTTGGGGTCGAACAGGATCTGTTCATGCAGAGCACAAGGTCCACTAACATGACAAGCATCGTAAACGCAGGAGAGTGCATGACACCAGTGACATGCTGGTGGCAGCAACAGCAGCAGCGGCAGCAGCAGTCTGGTGTTTGTGTTCGGAGAGTGGAGAGTGAACTATGAGTAACGATGTAGTGGCAGGAGCGGTGTGAATCCACGGCAACTTCGAAACCATACTTTTCTGCTGTCTTCATTCAAGTCCTGAGCACAACCCCATGTAGCATGGCCCATGTAGCCTTGCAAGACTTGGTCCTATGGGGCCTTTAGCCAGGAAACACGGATGACGACGAGAAGCCAGTTTCTGCCAACGACCTGTTGGAGAAGGTCTTTGCGACACTCAAGCGCAAGGCGCAGAAAGTTGTGCTGTCCCAGCACGGGTTGTCAGCGCCGTGCGACGCCGATGCAAGGACGGCGATGGTCGGCTGCTTCTCGCGGAGATTGTGCCTGCTATGGAAGCGCTAGCTGTCCTGCGAAGCACAACCGTGGATGCTCAGAGGCCATGCGTCCTTGTCACACGTCGCAGTCGCATCACGCAGTCGCCCTTCAGGGAGCAGCTGCTCAGCTTGGCGAAGCTGCTGGTATGCGAGCTGCATGGTGGGCTGGGTCTGTCTTTGCTCTTGGCACAAAGTGGCCAGAGCCGTGGTGGCATCCAGAGCGCGTTGCTCAGGCCCGGCGAAGCACCCTGTGTCTACTTGTAGCTGCTACCAGTACGTACTTGCTCCTGCATTGAGCTCTTGAAAGGCTGTTAGCAGCTCTGGCGCACCTGCCCGAAGCTGCGGGGCCGACGGCCAAGTGGCTCACCGCCCTGGGTGGTGTCCGGTGGAGTAGGGAGGCCGAGGAAACATGCTACCGGCAGTTGCAAGTGCACAGCGCATCTGGCTGTGGGGCCAGGGCATAGAAGGGCTTCTGGCGCCGCGTCAGGCGATAACTTCCCAGGAAGTGATGGCTTCTGCAGCCTTTACACTGTCGCGATGGGGAGCCTGGTCCTCTGTGCGGACCGACTACTTGCTCTCCCAGGCATCAAACTGAAAAAGAGGGGAGAAAACGGCCCTGCTTGGTCGAGCCGCAGGCGCTGAGGCGAGATCGCGTCGCCGCGGACCGGGCAGAGGAAGATGCGGAACTGCGGCCTTACCTGCTGGAGGATGCGGAGCTCATTCCGGCTAGCTCAGGACGGCAGGGGACTGCATGGCACTACATGAACAGCTCATAGTTTTTCCTGCTCGTACCAGCTGTTCTCGTACTCCAAATCCCTTGAGAGGATCCTGGTGGCTGGCTGCCATTGCGCAGTCAGGCCAGGACATTGAAGGCGCTGCAGGCTTCGAGGCACCTGCAAAGTGCCAAAATTGAGTTGCATCGTGTGTACCTGGCATGTTGACAAGAGATGAACACATTGAGACGTGCTTGGTTGGAGGTATTTGCAGAGCATGCTCCGAACGCTCTGTTTGGCGCGGTCTCGCGTCTTGGCCAGGTGCTTGGCTCCCTTAAATGGGCCTTTGTTTCTCTTGTCTTCTCTTCCATTCCCGCAGGTTGCAGTGTTTCCTTGTTGTGAGGCCCCGACGACCCGAGTGCTCCTAAAGTGCGGGCTCTCTGGGCACTGCATGCACTTGGGAAAGTCGCTGAACACCAGGCATGACCAGTGATGCTTTGTGCTCCTAAAGTGCCCTGTAGTCGCCTGACCACAGCAGAGGAGCTGGCAGAGTCTCTTCTGAAGCAGCTGCAAGAAGCGGATCTCAGAGGTTGGACCCGCGACTTCTTTTCTCTCGGCCTTGAGGGCGTTGCGGAAGCTGGAGCCGAAGTTCAGGGCTCATTTGCGCTCAGCCGCGGAGGCTTTTCTCCGGAGAGCTGGTGGCTTCTGCGTGAGCTGCAGCCCTCGCACTCAAAGGACAGCCGGAGCACTGTGCGGTGAGCTCATAGCTTTGCAGGCCGTGTGCAGCCTTGGATTCGCCTTGGTGCCTGAGGAAGAGGGCGAAGCTGTGGAAAGCCCTTTCTCCATGTGGAAAGACCAGTTGTCTGGAAGCCTCGAGGCCTGAGCCTTGCTCAGGGAGCGGTCCGACTGAGCTTGAATGGTGGGAATGTCAACTCTGCCGGGAGGCGGAGAGAAGCAGCTGGACATCAGAACGGGGCGACGAGCTCGCCAGTCTAATCCAGGACATTGCAGCTTGATGCGCTGGTTTTAGCCCGATGTGTATATTGCTTCGACGAAGAGCGCATGTGTGCTGAGCTTGCCGGATTTCGATCCATCAGGAACTTGGTGCTGCTGGCGAGGATGCACCCGAGCTGCTTATCTGACCAGTATGTATTGAGTTAGCCGAGAAGCACTCTGGAGCAGTCCGAGATTCCATTTGATTTGAAGTTCTCCTCCGCCCATGAGGGCCCATGCCCTAAAGCTTTCCGTCGAGACAACAAGTCGCGAAGATAACCAGCACTGAACTTGATCAATCCTCCAGGTACTAAGAAAGCACGGACTTGACTTCATCCTGGGATGTCTTGCGGGCCGAAAACGCAAGGTGGCTAAGAAAGTCTCGTACAGGTTTGTGAGGCCCAAGCCCTAGACGCCAAGCGAAGCCCGTTTGAGAAGTCACAACAGTCGAAACTCCAGTGCTTGTGCTGACTTGCTTAGCAATGAGTGTACTTAATCATCCCTGAGTATCCGGAATACACAACACGTCTTCTCCAAATTTTCTTGTAGATCAAAGCCGGGATAGGGTGCCCAAGAAGCGTCAGCCAGTTAACAGCTACGAACTTGGCACCTCTTGGGTCATCGCGACCGTCACGCTCAAAGGATCGCCTTCGTCGCAGGACCTTTCTGCATCTTGGCCGAAGAAATGCCGTAGTGCAGGCTCCAAATAAAACTACGCTAGACGTGCAAGTGAAGAGGCCTTGCTCTTCACTGGGGCAATCGGGGGAAGGCGTTGGACCTCGCAACTTGACATGCACAAGAACGAGTTACCCGAGACATTCTTTGGTCGATGTTGTTTGCAAGGACCACCACTCGCCAGTGACCCGTGTGCTACGCCGGCAGCATTGGGCGACAGTCCTGCCGGATGTGGAGGCCATGGCTTTCACCCGTGTTGACAATGTGCAACATCTATCCGGGCTTAGGTGAAAGAAGTTAGCTTGGAAGAGTGGGATGAGGACTGAGATTTTGCTTGCGACTACATGGTGACCTGCCTCTTCCGAGCAGTGTGCGCGAGGATGGAGGAAGGAATCGCTTGGCTTTGCTTCAAAGCTTCCTCGGTGGAGAACCGCCCGAGTAGCATGCAAAAAGAGCGGCTGCAGCCCGTCGCAAAGCTCCAAAGCATGCTCACAGCGCCTCAGTCTCCATGGGCAGTGTACCTTTCCAATTGCAGGCTGCTGAACGAGCCCCTCTTCTCTGAGCGGGCGCGTCGGATTTCCCGGGTGATGCGTGCACAGGCTTTGGGGACGGCATTCCGGGTTCGTTTGCCTTGTCACGTCTTTGCGCTTCGCGTTCAGGCCGATGCTGTGCTGGAGAAGCTGGGTCCCGAGATGGTCGCGCCGGAGGGCAGCCACCTCGGGGCTGGGGCCTCCGCCCGGCACCAAGATTTCGTCGCTTCGGGTCGCTTCGAACCTCGCATGCCCGCCTAGCCGAGCCTAATGCCCGAATCGCGCCAGGTCAGCGCAGCTCTCATCCTCTCGTCTTTGGCAAAGGCACAGGGCCCATGTGGGCGCACAACATCGCATTAATTCCGTGGTTTCAGATCAGAGTGTTTCTCTTCTCCTGAAAAGTTTGGGGCGTGCGTGTCTATCTGTCTTTTTCCGAATCGGACATGGCCGACCGGAATCTGCGGTACAGTCTCAGGGTCTGATGAAGTCGTTTTCCGACAGCATGCAACATTCGCAAGAGCCGAGCTTCGAGCTGCAGAACACGGTGTCTGTACAGAGTATGCAGATGCTGCCCCGTGCGCCCCGTTGCAGCATTAGAGCACTGGCTTGCCGTCCTGCCCACGCGAGGAGTCACCCGAGTTCGTGTTCCAGGTGAGCGGTGGGGAGGCTAGTCTTTCCTGTGCCTGTTCCGTTCAGCCTGCATCAGGCAGTTGCGGAAACGACCAAGTCAGCGGAAGGGGACTTCCGCCAGTGAGGCCGTCAGCTCACCCAGCAGACGGCCGCCTGACGCGTCGCCCCAGGCAGGTGCAGAGAGAAGGGTATACAAGAGTTCTATGAACATCTAGAGTTTTGGTTTAGGTTTAGGGATTTAGCGCTGTATAGGCTTCTATTGTTTTCTGGCTTTCGGGTTCCATGGATTAGGGGTTGAAGGTCGAACTTCTTTTGAAAGCTTCTTCCCCACAAGCTTGGGGTGCATTTTGTCTGCAACCTGTCCTGCGGTCTCCCGCCGTAGCTGGGGCCGAAAGCGAGCCTGCTGCAGAAAGATCGTCAGAAGCAAGTGGGCCTCCATCCGAGATGCCACAACTGCCACATTCGCTTCCTGGCTCGAGCTGCGACGAATCCCTTGAAGCTGAAAGGTAGCTGAAACATTTCCCCCAACGTGGCAAGCGGCAAGCATCGCAAGCTACACTTATACCCCCCCAAACAGGGGAGACCAGGAGCTTGTTGGTCCATGTCTGATCATGCCGATGGTCAAGCTGAATGTCGGTGGGCGAATGTTTCGCACATCCGAAAGCACGCTGCGTGCCTGTGGAGATTTCTGTGCCCGACTGCTCTTTGGCATCGGAGGTGATTTCTGTGGGATACAAAATTTCTTGCCATGTAACTGTCCAAGACTGGCGAACACTCGCCTTGATCTGGTATCGCTTGGCTGTAGTACGGTTGTATCCTTTCAACCTCAACCTTTACGGGCCTTTGGTGAACCTGCGACCGTCACATGTCTTCAATGGCAGCAAGCACGACGTGCATGGAAGACTGCGGCTCACCATTTTGTCGAGGTTAGACGGCGACATCCCAGTTGATCGTGATGAGGCAAGTGTCAGCCTCGCGGCACGGCAGCCGACCCTGCAAGCCTTCGAGGACGGAGTCCTCTTCTTGGACAGGGACCCTGACCTCTTCGACTGGGTATTGCGTTTTGCACGCACAGGTTGCCTGGCCCGACAAAGCCCGAAAGTGCTTCCCGCCTCATCGCTTCGTGGAAGGTGAGATCCAGAAGGACATGCCGGGTGCGCTGAAGGCATGGTCAAGCACAGAGCAACATGCCAAACTGCACATGCATGACTCTGCCACAGCAGAGGCCGAATTCGATTTTCTGCTCTTGTCATGGCCGCCATGTTGCCAGCGATGCGGAGTGTACTTCGACACTGCCCGCACCATGGCTGCATGGAGCGGCTGTTGAAACTTCACGGCGCTCGAATTGGTACCTGCATTCAGCACAGGCAACTCTGACACATCGTGTCGACACCATCGATTTCCTTGGCTAGAGGAGCCGAGCGGTTGCCAACATGTATTTTTGCTTGCAAAGATGGGATGAGCTCTGTCGAGGACGTTGAAATCTCACGCGAAGATCGCACTTGTTGCCCTTGGCCTGAAAGATCTGAAAAGGGGTGCTGCAAAAACTGCGGCACCGAGCGTGCTGGCAGCATTTGGCCGTAGCCGTGCCGAGTTTGCAATCGACCAGCCGTGGCCCGAAAGTGTCTCAGGATCTGTGGACGCCAGGTCTTCAAGTCGATGGCTTAGCTCTCAGCCCTTCAGCTGGGCAAGTGGTGCAGCCCAGGTCTTATGTGAGGCGCTACATCTGCTGCAAGGGCAGGATTGACGAGCCTGGTTGCCGTCGATGCCGACATGAGCTGCCTCCTGATGCGGATCCTAGCCTGGAAGAGCCCGCTGGAGAAAACGACAACTCTCATCGTTCCGTTCCGGCGGAAGAGGGCGCCCGGCTTCCAACAGAAGAGGAGAGGCGGCCCGTCTCCCACTCCCGTCGCAGGTGCTGGGAGGCCTTGCCTTCGTCCTCGTGGCGTTGCTCGGGCCCGCTCCCGCCCCAACAGCTTTTGCTGAAACTTCAGAGCTAGGATCCGGCAACTGGCAGTGATGAAGCTCAGACTTTCCTCTGGCCGAGGTCGCGCCTTCGTCCGTGAGGGTGCTTCCTGCATGTCTTTGTGCAGCGAGGGCCAAGCACAGCAACGCGGCTTTTGAAGAGTTCTTGTTTGGAACATGATGCTGTTCTTTGTCAAGGCTGAAGAAGTAGAAGCCGTGGAGGTGCAGGAGGGGTGCATTCAAAGCAAGATCTGTCCTCGAGCTGTTGCTGCTTGTTCATTGCCGGGCTGACTGCACCAGGACCCGGCCCAGAAGAAAAAGGAGGAACAGGAAAGAAGAAAAGCTGAGGCCAAGGCCAAGCGTGAGGAGGAGGAACAACGAAGAAAGGACTGGCTCTTTGGCTCTGCTCTTGAAAAATCTCTCGGTGGCCGTTTCGGATGCAGGAAGTGGCCGAAAAGAGGCAGGCTGAGGCCCAGAAGGCTCGGGAGGAGGCGGAGGCGAGGGATGGCTGAAAGTAGGGCTCATGGTCCAGCGCTCATGTCATGCTTCCGATGCTTCCCTTCTTGGTCGCGAGGCCAAGCGAAAAGCGCAGGCCGAGGAAGCTGCCAAAAAGAAGGAGGAAGCCGAGAAGGCCCGCGCAGAAGAAGCGGCCAAGCGCAAGGCAGAGGAGGAACAGAAGAAACAGGAGCAGGAAGCCAAACGACAGGAGGAGGCAAAGAAGAGGGAAGAGGCTGAAAAGGCCCGAGCGGAAGAAGCTGCCAAGCGCAAGGCAGAAGAGGCAGAGAAGAAGAAGGAGGCGGAGGCCAGAGGGCAGGTGCATGTCTGGGCCATGACCCTTTAACCGATTCCGATTTCCGATACTGGAGGAAGCAGCAATGGCGGGGAGTTCGTTTGCAACAGTAGGGTGAAGGCATGCGCCTAGAAACACTGCATACTAAAAGACAAGACCAACCGTTCGACGAACGCCGGCTGACAAGATCAACAACTGGGATAAAACGTCAGGAAGGATAGTTCGAAGCAAGCCAACATTGGATCAGCGACTCACGTCTGCATACT